GTATGGTCAGCAAAAAATTTTCCAGTATAAGCATTTTTTTTTTTTAAAGTGTTTCTCTTGATTAATTATGAACAGCAGAAAAGTGGAACGTATGATATTTCAGGAAACATTGAAAGTCGAATGAAACGGAATTTTAAATCGTTCCCGATCACGGTAGAGCAACGTCGAACCGGATTGTAGAAGATGACATCTTGATATAATTTATGTCGGTTTATCCACGGTGCACTGTTATTTCATTTGTTTAATGGCCAGCGAATGCATTATTCACTGGCGAGGATTAGCGGCGTGTACCCTTTCTCTTGGACGACAGACTCTGATCCGATTCATCTCATAGAATTATCTTAAAGCAAGCGATTTGTCGAGGATTATGGCTGACCGAATCGATTAATTCCATTGGAGAGATTCGTTCGTACGTTGATTGAGAGAGCTCTAGCGGGCAGTACATATCAAATTCTTCGTTTCCTTCTTAGAGAAAGTTCGTTGACCAAATTAGTCGAAGTCAAATTACACAGTCCAACAATATAATAATGGGCCTGATTTCAATTATTTGAAAACTTTGTTGCGATAATTGTATTTTACAGAACAATGAGAAAATCACCCTGATCTGTTATGTCTAAAAGTAATATTCCAATGTTTGGTTAAACGTGCGTTCGTTTAAAATGATCAAAACTAATACGAAATAAATTTTAATAATAAACAAAATAGTAATCACAATTATTTAAATTTCACTTCATGGAATTTATAGTTGATTTTAAAAAAGATCAGTCATTTCACGTGGATAAAATCGTCGAGTAACGAGCAAATAATTCAAACGAATAAAATACGCAGCCAAATTTGACTGTTCAATTGAACGAACGTCACAAGTAAATTGCTATGACGTCGATTGTACTCGTTATCTATTACTCGAATACAATTTTCCCCATCCCTGGAACTCGGAATACTAGTTATTGTTTGCACGAAATTTGTTAAGCGAGTGTATGTATGCTGTTTACTGGATTTGAATCGACAACCATTTGAATGGGCTGGAACAACGGGACCGATCTCGACTAGGAGTTTATAAACTCATCGATTAGACCGTTTGATTGTAATGGATTTTCAGTTTGAACGACGAGTTGAATGGGTTGATTTATTGTGTTAATAGGGGCGGTGGTATCGGTGAAAAGGCCATCCATTTAGCAGGCTTCTTCCAATATATTGTGTATAGATATCTTTATAATTGAATCGAATAGTCGATCGTGTATTATATTATTTATTATACCAATTACTTCCGATTGTGAAATTGTTTTGAAATTTGAAATTGTTTCTTGCAAGCAATGAAACCGATTTTATTTTACAATTATTTGTTGCACGAATTATATTTGTTTTTCAATTGATCGTTCCCTGGTTACTTATAAATAGCTGAATACGTGGGAGAAGCATTGAAATATTATTAAGTCTGGATGTGATCAGGTTTATATTCCCTGTCTAGTTCGTCAGCCTCGTTGACGGTTGAACAATTGAGGGATTCCGCTATAAAGCAGATGCCATCTATGGTTAATACGCACAGCGTCAAAATCCAGTTACCTGTTCAAAGCTTCTCACGCCTGTCGTGCTTATTGCACTTAAGAAACTTCATTCCCCTAGCTTCAGACCAAGTTTAACGACGGTTAACGATTATACCGCTTGCTGTCACTTGACATAATATCATCGTTGTGAAGGAATGCTAGATTTCCAGACAGATCAATAAAATGGAAGAATTTCATCAATCATTGGCATAATGTTTTAACGCAATTGATTTTCGAAAAAAGCTCGCTAACTGTTTCTTCTATCTCTTTTAACAAAATTAAATGTATAGATATATTCACTGCCAAAATTAGTCTCATTGCTTTCAGGAAATCAATTTTCTATTCAACAGTTCCTTTATTTTATATTCATTTCAATTCTCTTAAAAAATATTACTAAATTACTCGCGATGTCTGTAGACCAGAGGACCCCATCAAATTGTCCACGATATGAATCCTCGCTCCCGTAGACCCCATTTTAATTGGCCAGCTTCATTCGATACAATTTTCATCGCGACGTACACGTGTTATCAAACGTGGACACGGGAATAAAAAAGCCACTCGATAATGATCGTTAATGTCCGATGTAATAAAGAGCTGGGCACGGATATCATTGGATGTTATAACGGGACGCCGGGCTCCGAATCGAATTTAGTCGGGTTACACGCCTGTGCGACGCACAATCCACGGAGTAAACGTTCCGTTCAAATAATTTAGATCATAATTAATTGCAATCGATGCAATTTCCCCGTCGTTATCACTTTTAAACCGCGACGCAACGTTTCGCTGCCGAAGTCGTCGTAAATCGATAGCTGGGAAATCCACGTCGAGGGAACGGCCGATTTATTTATTCGTAGCTGCAGATTTACGTCGATTACGAACCGATTCGTGTCAACGACGATTAATCGATCGACGAAAATGGCAACGCGAGTCGCGACGAAAGCGTTCGACGCCAAGGGTTGATGCGTGCATTAGCGAAAAGTGTCGCGCGTACCTGAAAAATCGAAAGGGTCGCGTAACGAGGATGCTAAAAACAGAAATGACGCGTCATCTAAATTTTAATAAGTTTTGAACGCAGTTTTCCTTTCGGAGCAACATTTTCAAGGGACACGAATATTCGTGTATACGTAATGTATCTCAGAAGTATTTTATCAAGCTTCCAGACACAGGGGGATTTATTTGTGTTTATTATTTTACGTTAATGAGGTTTTAATGACGACTGGAATGTGATGTATTAATTTTGTGCTTCGCAAGATTCCTATAGAGTTGAATTTTATCGATGTTTACGGTAATTTAATTTCAACCGTAATGCTACCTTCGAATATATAATTTATATTTTTATACAAAGGATAATGTCATTTGTTTGTATTGTTTTGTATTGTATTGAAACTGCGTGGTAGCTTATAATGGAGACTGTTATTGCATTCTTTATTTTTACATTCTGAAACAATTCAGCCACATATTTGAACGTTCGTAATTAATCTACCAACTTTTCAATAATAATAATAGAACCCTAATACTCTCTCAATGGAGTTAGATTGAATTCGTACATTTAATTCAATTTATTTGAATGGCCGTGTGTTTTAAATGGAGACAGAATTTGTAGGAAGTACGCTTTGTACTTATATAGAGGAAAAATATAAATCGTATCGATTCGACGTATTTAAAATTAAATTAGTCACAGAGCAGAGTATACCTGCGAGTCTTCCTCTCGTAACGTTCAACCCTTTGATACAGTTGTTGGAATTAACACAAAAACGAAATATTATTTTCTCTCGTATCATTCTTTCAAATTATTCTTATTACTGTTTTATGCAATTTTCTTGCCTAATAAATGCATGCGTGTGAAATGTATTCAAAAGTCTTTTTTAGAAAATTAATTTTAGCCTTTTAAATATCTGTTTGTACTCAAGGATTGCATAATATCACCAAAGAATACTATTCAGACATTTATTCATGTTACACAGAACACCAAAGAAAGAAGATAAATTTAAATGAAAGAACGTATGATAAAATACAAATTTTCATTTTTCGAATTACATCTAACAATACGTATTTACTCCATAAATATGAATACTTCAGAAAACATGAATCCGTGAAGCGTGCAGTCTGGTTACGAATTAATCATCGATACGTACGGTTTGTTAATTTTAATAATGAGTTGTCCACTCACAGCATAAAATTACTTTCATTACTTTCCGTTCTCTCTTCATACATGTACGTATACGTAGGCAGAGGAACTTGCGCGCGCGAGCGCTAACTTTACTCAAATTTCGACACTAGGTGCGTGAATATGGAGTAACCGCGAACCGATGTGGTATCACATTGTGGGAAATATACACGCGTGCTAAATCGTACATTTATGCACAGTACCGTGAGATCCGTGGCAAATGTGATTAATAAGAGGCACAAAGCGAAATAACCATGGTCGCTTCCATCTTCCCAAACGCAACTAACCGATGATTTGCTAGGGACGCGGAACGCGGAGCCGGAACTGCGCCGACCAAACAAATTGTTAGTTTAACGTCGGTAAATTATACCATCGGAAAAATTGATATTCTAAAATAATCATTTTCAGGTCTATCTTTATTATATTATTTCATAATTGTCTAATTATAATAATGGTAATAATTAATAATAATATTTTGAATGTTAATTAATTTCATATTTATTATGTTAATCCATTACAGTCCCTCAAATTAAATAAATTCAAAAACAAAATAAACTCCGATATATTAAAAAATAACATTTTAGTATTTTATCAAAATGTTTTTAATATTTTTTTGTTAGCATTAATATTCAGTTAACTGAATTATTTAAAAATTTCTATACATCATCTGGAAAGATTGCGATTACGTTTACTTTCTCTTAAAAAGTTCCAAGTACTCTTTGTGTCTCTTAGCATCTCTCTTGCCTCATTTCTACTCGCCCACTTAATTTTCTCAGGCGCACTTTCATCATTTCCCTTTACTAATGACTCTTTAATTCTAGAAGCCTAGAGGGGGCGAACTGACCCATTTGCAACTGTGTAACTGAAAACGTATTATTTTCGTTCTAAAGCTTCCAATCATTCAGAATGAACTCGAGTAATGGAAGGTTACTATTCTTCATTTCCGCTAAAGCCCCCGAAATGTAAATAATTCACTCATTTCTCCGAAATTACAACTAGGTCGTTTTGACCTGACTGATCCTTTTCACGGTAATTAAATATACTGCTCTAGTTTTCAATGGAATTGCAAGAAAATACATTTTATTGTGCTCGAAGTTTTAAATATTTCCTCAGCTGTATCCATCCATTTTCATAGAATTCAGTTGTACAATGACACATATACATACTGTGGCAAGTTTTTGTTTGTGTACATTTTCATTCAGTTTCTCTTAAAGTAATTCTTTTGGACTCTTGAAGTTGCTTGTCGAACCCAAACTGTCGAAACTTGAAAGGCAGGCAGATATTCCTAAAAATTATTAAAATATACATTGCTCAATGTTACTCCAGCAATAATATGTAAATCATACATTTTTTTTACCAATACGACGTCGAAGTAATCATTCCTGTATACTCAAACGCAAACGGTGAAAATCACAGAACTTCCACCATCGCTCGTAAATCATTTTCCATTTGAAATCTACATTACGACCGATAACGTAGAACGAAACGACACATTTATTTAGCACTGTCAATACAATTTTAATCAATATCGTAACGCAGACCCAGCTCCAATGCAAACTGGCGACGACCATTAAACAATTCTTATCAAAGGGACAGGAAATGAGAGGGGGCATCTGGCAGAAACATCACAATCCAATATGGATTTCTAACCACACGTCAATATTAAGGTAGAAACGACTTTCCGTAGCTTTTGATTACGCTCTCTCTGAAACAAACTATCCACTGTCATCCCTTGTTTCCCGTTCCCATCGAAGTGGCAAATTTAGGAATACTAATTTGCAACCCAAGCACGCTACGAGCTGAATAGAAATATTCATGGCGAAACGCTATACAGGACGATCCTTGTAACTGGGCCAGATTATAGTGCTGTTATAAATGAAAGTAAAAAAAAACAAAATAATAAAGGAAAATTAAATATGTATAAAAACAAAATTTTCTCTACCGTCCGAGTTTAATATAACGTCGTTCTAACCCTTACGCGTTAGGTAGGAGGTTTTTTTCTGAAGTTTTAATAATGCTGTTCCAGATCCAGACTATCCACCATCCCTTTCCGCCTTCAGGCTTGGATCAGCCTCCGTCATTGATGGACCGAACTGTAAACAAGGGGAAAGGATACTGGGAATAGAGTACGCGAGAACGATGTCCCAAGGGGGGGTTCTGAGCGGATACGAAGCACAGAATATTTTGTTATTAGAGTTTCGTTGACGAAGTGGAGTATTGCTGACATCAAGAGCTACTATATAAAGTCGAGAGTCATGGACGAACCGATTCACAACACGGAGAGCTCCTAGGAAAGGTGAATTTTTATAAACAAAATCAATGTACGGCTAACCTAAAGGAAGAGAGGATAGACATTCACTGAAACCTATTTATCATCTTCGCCACTTCGAACTTCATCATTATCCACAAGCTTATTTAAATATCGCCTGCATCGTTAGACGAATCCTCTCGTTAGGCTAACCACGTTCCATCTTCGAGTTCCAGCTTCAAGTAAAAGGCTGGCAAAGATGGAGGATATTCGAACCCGCCAACGAAATGGCAGATTTATGTATACCGAATCGTTGGAAAGCTCAAAGAACAAGGGATGCAAAGTGGGTGGATGGGGCTGGCGAGGTCGGGAACCCGGCGACCGCCTTTATTTTGATTCTCCGGCGACGTTACGGATCCGCCGGGAATATACCGACGCATTATGAAATGTGGCGCGTAGTCTCCGGGGCAAATAAGTTTCCGAGCTCCTGGAATACATCAGGCAACACGTGTCCCGCAAAAAGCGGAGTTTCGCGGCTCGACAATAAGTTCATGGAAATATAGTGCGCCGTCGGGAGTCGGGACGGGTATTAAAACTTTTTCATCAGTTAACGTATGGACTCCGACGTAATTCCGCCAGACGTCCACTGTATCGGTCGAACGCTATTAGTATTGCAGAATAATGGGTCGCAGGGGGTGAAGGATTGAGACATATCGCGCTGGATATAGACTGTATTCAAATTGGCGAGTTTGTTGATTCCAGCAGAGTTCTGTTGGGTGCGAGGACGTGCTAAATTATGGCCTTCTGGCCTAGATTTGAATTTTCCTCATTACGGAGACTGTTCAGATTTCTATTAGCATATTTGCCCAGTTAGGTGGAGGAACTCTCTATCGCGGTTAAGCTTCGAGTTAGAGGTAGAGCACACAATCTACAACAGCGTGTACGTGAATCGGACAACATCGAAAAAATAAAACGTCACGGACTCTATTCGTCTTCTTTTCGTTCTCCATATATAGAATTTGTATTCTTGCATCGTTCAGTCGACACGAGTTTGATCTTATGTTTCCTCCTTTCGTCTCGAGGCGAGTAACCGCACGGTATATGTATAGAGGGTGTCCCAGAATTAGCCGACAGATAGCCGAGACGATTCTGAACCACAATTTCCTTTGCAAAAACGAAGCACCATTCGACATTTCTGCAAAGGAAATTGTGGTTCAGACTCGCTACCCCTCATTCCGGTTCATTACGTAATGACCAGTGTGATGTAACGATTTCTACTATATATACTTTTCTGTAGGAACATGAAATTTTGCAGGCTCCAGGTTTAAAAATCGGTACTGAAGAAAAATCTATAAAAGGTAGGGTTCCAAGGAGAGGGTCCCGAAGAATGATCCTTCAAAGTAACCGTACACGTTTATCTTCATGACATCTGTCCCAGGTATTAATCGTCACGCCACCGCGATGTTCACCCATTTGGAAAGACCGTCGCCTTTTCCATCATAGAAATAGAGTTGGCCATGACAAACCGTCGCTCTTCCGCCTGATTTCATTCCTGTGTCTTGAGAATCTCTTTCTTGCAGTCTTCTCTTGCGGGTTCTCTACTTCGTCGATGAAACGTCCTCTTCTTGAGAAAAGACTTGCCGGGCGATCACTCCAGCAACTTTGACGATTTTATCAGCTTATACTCGCGACCAACTAATACTGGCTCAGAAACACAGAGGTTAATCAGGTAGAAATTCTAATGTCGAGTATTATCTTTAGCGCTTCAAACTCTGTTATTATCGACAAGCTTATTTAAATATCGCCAGCATCGCTGGAGGAATCCTCTCGTTAAACTAACCACGTTCCATCTTCGAGTTTTAGGTCCAAGTAATATGATGTAGGGGTAACTCTCTTGAGGTTTGAGCTATATGCTGTTCCTGTAAAGTGATGTTGCTAACTAGGAGGAATGCCTAATTATTCGCTAGATCAGACTTAAGATTAAGATCCTACAAAATTTCTCCAACGGTGTGTAGAAGTGCATGCAGTAGCTTTGAAGGGTTGTGATTTTAATAGAAGAAGTGGTGGAATGAGGCAAGTGTTAGAAGGATTTGTAGGGGACACAGAAACTATAGTGCTCAGTCCCTGTTCCAAAGAAAACCGCCAATGAAAGCCTTAAGCGAGGTGGTTACAGAAAGTGTTCATCTTAAACAGACCTCTAGCGTACCTGAGCAACACCTTTGCAGACTCTGCAAGACCGCATCCCTACAAAGGCAAGCATTTGCAAGCCTTCATTCACAAGAAGTTGCTAGACTTCATGAATGATACCTCGTATTTGTTAGAAAACGTGCTCGGCACGATCAGCATTATTCTCTTCCATCCATAAATATCTACAGTTAATCCTTGAAAGATTAATCCCTGACAACTCATCTCTCTGAAAGACGCAAGAAAACACAAAGCGTATCGATGTCACCCTCCCATATAAAGTACTCAGCCAACCTGAAGAGAGTTATGGTATCGCGCGGAATCATCATTATCACTTACACGAACAATCACTCGTCAGATTACCGCGGGTTCTTTTCGCTTCGTCTTTGTCTCGCGGCCGATTCCTGGAATTCTATTTATCTCCCCATTAAAAGACACGGATAGGAGGATTTATCGAAGAACCGCGGGACAACGGTGTATAACTTATGACAGTCTTCCTGGATATCATTCTTGCGTAACACTGTACAGTTACGCCGCGTAGTTATGGCGTCGCGGGAAGGGTCATAAGTCGCAGACAATTTTCTCTTACGCTGTGACCACTTCCCCCGACTCGGTATTATTCTCTCTCATATTTTTATTCCGTCCCTCTCTGTTTACCAACGCTGTTGTTTCTCTGTTCGTCTTTGTCTCGGCGTTTATCTTCCTCGCTGTTCTCTTCTCGCCTCTTTTCCTAGCACCGTGGCGCAATGGTAACACGGGTAGCGATAGGGGAGATGGTCACAGGCTCGGAGGAAATTGTCTGCAATTTATGACAACTTTTCCGACCGGTGGGGGGTATCGTTACTACGTAGAATTCTAAACGAAAACAGTGGAAAACTTCGGAATCGCGGCGAATCGTTTGCACCCGAAGTTTGGAATGTAATTCAGTGTCAAATCTACTTGCGAACTGTTCAATTCTACCATTCTGCGAGCACTGACTGCGCCGGAAACTTAAGGATTGTTCGCGCTCGGGGCTGTTGCGCGAAACCTTTGATGCTGTAGGCGCTGCGGTTCTTGAACTTCACCCTTTCGCGGAGTCCCTCTATAAATAAATCTCTTGGAGAACACCTTACCAAAGGAATAAATTGTTATTAATCTGGATATGTTTTTAGACTGTTTTTGAGGGTATTGGTATGGTTTCAATTGCTTCTGTGTATGTTAGGCGGTTCTATATATTTTCAAATGTAACGGTTGCAGTTTTAATGACATTTAAACTTTATAATTTAAGCGATATAATTACATTAATTTCAAGAAAATTGACGCATCATGAATTATACGATTTATCTTGTATATATAAACTTATTTCTTGTATCTACTTATATTTACATATAAAATTTAAAAATGCAACGGTTGCAGTCTTAATAATATTTAAACTGTTTCATTTAAGTAATGCTATTACATTAACTTCAAAAATATTCGTATGCCATGAGTTATGCGATTTATCTTGTATTTATAAACAGTCAAACGAAAATCATAATTGCATTCTGTCGGAGTTCGTTGTCATTAAATATATTTTTGATGAATCGATTAATGGAAATGTTGAATAATAACGTATCTGACAATCGAGGCATCACGGAATCATTCTCTATTTAATTAAGTCCCCTTAAGCCCCCGCTGTCGATGTAAATTGAATCGTTTGTAATTCTTGATCACTCTATGAAAATACCGCAAAACGCTGAGAATTCCATAGAGTTTACTATTTTTTTCGGTTCACCACACGCGAATCTGCCGCGTAACGTTAATTATCCGCAGAGGGATTAATGATGGCGCATAAAACCAGTAACGAGCCCCGGAAATCAACAGCGCATAATTTTGCACGCGAGTGTTGCGCGACCTGGGGTAAACATTTCGAGATAAAATTAAATTTTCAAATCAGTTTCCGCTGGTGAAATGAAAGTTCTGGTTGCCGCTTAAAATTGATTCGTGATTTCTTTTGTAAGCCTTCCGTGATCGATTGTATCATATTTGAAAGGAACTCGCTCATCTTCGATGAATCCTTCGTCGCGAGTAACCGGTTGTGAAATAGTAATAAAATTTTTAGAAATAAGAATAAATGTTACTGTATAAGATTATAATAGTACATGTACTGTATATAAATAATCGATTCCTTCCTTCAACTGAAAGCAGTATTATAATACATCCAGAACATGCAGCGACTGCATTTCAACACGATTTCAATTTTATCCGCTTTCTCCAACCCTCCTTATTCAGCAATGCAAGCTGTTTATAATTAATAACAGTATGTCGGTATTACTCTGTATTGTTCTTGTTTACTTGACACAATCTCCAGCAAAACCATGTAGTTACTGTACGCATTTGATACGAAGACGGTTCGAGGTCTATTTCAATCCAGACGTCGCGTTACTCCTTTGACAATTACAGCCATAAGGGAATAAACAGTCTAATTTCCAACGGCACGAGGTACCGGCAAAAAATCCATTCGAAATTCGAGGACGTCGTTTGTAAGCGTGGCTGGGATCTAATTCAGCGTCGAATGTACTCGCAAACTGTTTAATTCTCCCATTCTGGGAAACCTGACTGAGACTTAAGGATTGTTCGCGCTTGGGGCTGATGCACGAAACCTTTGATCTTACTGCTTTAACGTGTCCGCAGTCGCTGACCATGCTGCTCCTTTGGCGATTACGGCTGAATGAAGGGAATGGACAATCTAATTTCACCTGATCTTCAGGTGAAAAGATCCCCAAAACTAAGCCTAGGACCTTGCGATTTTGATACCTGCTGACACACACCACGAAACCAAGACCTGATGGCGGGAACCAAGAAACCGGAGATGGTTCTGTATATTTTTTGTACACCAGTACGTT